ATAATTATCTATGAAAAATTAACATCAAGTGAATCAAGTTAATTATTGCAAATCCTAGATATCATTAGAGCTTCATAGATTGGCAGTGTTATGCCATCATAGTCATCAAGTAGCACTTGGTCACAATATAATAACCTTATATATATATATATATATATATATATATATATATATATATATATATATATATATATATATATATATATATATATATATATATATATATATATTAAACTAAGCAGCATGTATCTAGCAAGTATGTACATTATATTCCATAATAATGTGCATGACATTCCTTAATTAATCAATTGCTAAATAATCCATGTTCCAACAACTTGAGTCAATAATAAGTTGGTATGATGGTCCAAGCATTAGTGACCCTATTAATTAATTAAAAATACCACGTGCATGTTGTAAGATCCATTACTTAATCCCTACAACATAATTTCATTGTGATAATAATAACTAAGGATAATTATAATTATTTGAAAATTGTTATACCTAAGGGATAACTATGGGAAAATAGAAATAGATTTTAATTAAGTATTCATAATATCAAAGCATGATTGTGAAAAAAAATAAAATTAAAAGAAATTCCATTTAACGTTTAGAGATAGCTATAAGTACATACCACACTAAATATTACTCGTATTTTTACACACATTATTGTAACCTAGATTATTAAGACTACGTTCTCTTCTAATTTTAAAAATATATTTCATTATAATAAATAAATTTCTATAATATTAATCACATAAAACTTGCCAAAATGGAAACAAAAAAAATTAAGTTTGATAATCACAAAATTAAGTTTGATTAATCTAGTAGGAATATGCTTTTTAAAAAATAAATTTATTAATGAAATGTTAAACTCAACAAAAATAAATAGAGTCAAATGAAAACTAGATTAATTAAATGCCAAAGGTTGTGTTAATCTTATCAAATTACCAATTTATCATATTGATTATATTGAAACAAATACGAGTACATAACAAATAAAGCCGCAATTTTATTATTTTTTAAAATTTTCTTTACTTAGATAATGAACATGGTTGCTTGCTAAGAAGGGCCAATAATGGTAGCACGCGTACAATAATTTTATTCAATTAAAATATTAAACATTAATTGATTAATGCAAATTGATTTTGATTAGTCCTATTTGATGGCAGACTGGCAAAATGTTAATTGTGAGTGGACAGATTAGAGCACTTAAAAATGTTGGATTAATAATTAGAAGAATAAATTAAACTATATAATAATAGTATAATATGACTTGGATATTATTAATTGGTTAAGGTCGTCATTGTCTTCGTTGTCCGACAAAATATATTCTCTGATTGGTCTTCATAGAGTCGCTTTACCTAACAAACAAACCGACCAAAATTTCCTTAATCGCGATTTGTGGGCTAGACTTATTATTGTATTAAATAAAAAGAAGATTTTCGATTTTATTTTTCTTAATTATTTAAATTACAATTCTTATTACTCTAATTGTTTGTTTAGTAAGTTGTAATCTACATATTAATATATAATGGTAATAAGATTGAATTTATGTGTAATTGGTGATTTGACAGTAAAATATCACTTAACTCCGTATTTGACAGTGAATTGAGCATTGGAGGTTGAGACTATGTATCTAGGTGAATTAGTTTATTTTTGAAATGTCACGGTCTAATAACGGACGATGGTTGCTTACATCTACAAATACCTTGTGTTTATTATAATGAAATAATGATACTAAAAAAATGTCCAAAAAAAACATATTATAATATTTTTATACTTCTTGAAGTAATTTTTTTTTTTTACAGGTACACAGGTACGTAAAAGTAAATTTGGATAAATTAATTTAAACATTTTGTATGTTTATCGTTGCACATCTAGTCAACTATGTACAATCTTGACAATTGAAACTCTTTTGCTCTAGGCTCGGGGATTTCTAGCATTAATGTGTATTTCTTTCATAGATGAAATGAATACAAGATTCCTTAACGAGGAGCATATGTTAAATTGCGATCATTAATAGTAGAACTTTTCCCATTGAACACTATTTCGTCATATAATTAATAAACACGTTACTACATAACAAATCGCATGCATAGGATCCTACAGTTTTTCAATTCAATTCTAAGCTAAGTACCCTTCAATCCTAATTAAAACTCGGATCTAGACACTATTAGGTAATCAACTCTTTACTCTTGACTTCTTGTCACCACATTAAACCCTACTCCTTCAAAGGCTTGAATTATAGTTAGCTAATTAATTATATTAATGTCCATCCCCTATTTTCAAACTCACATCCCATACCAAATTTGATCCTTCAAAGGACAAATTCTGACCACTCCAAAGAATGGAATGTAGTAGGTTGTGTATTAGAATCTTGGGGACCCATAGTGCCGACTATTTAAGCCCTTGAGTGAGATATTAGTATCATTATTTAATGTGCTTTTACATCTTTTTCTTCTTTAGCCTCCATAATTCACTTGTTTTTAGTTAATATAATCCACCAACCCACCATTTTTCATTATGGTTTCTTTACTAATTTTTGCACACAAAACTTATGTCTCAATTCTCAAATCTCAAATTACATTGTGCTCTCTAATTCTACATATAGAAAATCTATAACTTGAATAAAGGTGATATTTTTAACCGAATATTTAAATTAATTAACCTAACAATGTCAAAAAAGTCAAGTATGTTCTAATAAGATAGTTTATTCTTCTATGGATTTTTTTCCTCTAAGATTTGCTTATTATTGTAATCCGAATTTATATTTGGCTATTTGCTAACATTTATGATATATATTTTGTTTCAATTATGTATTGTTCAATTCCATAAGAGTGAAACTCATAAATGTGGTAACTATTTAGTTGAAAATTTGAATGGGAAATTAATGCTATCAATATTATGAGCCACCTCTAATATCAGTATATATTGAAAATTCTAAGTAAAACAACCTCATTAGTACTATTAAAAGTATTAATAATTCTCAACCGCCTCAAAAGAATTACAAACTGATCAAATTGTACCACGATAATTAATTTAGATTTCACGAACTAAGGCCTTGTTTGGTTGACATAGAAATTAAATTTCCATAGAAAATTGTATTTCATGGGAAGTTATTTCCCTCATGAAATTCCTAGGAATTTCCTAAATTTGTTTGGTTGGCAATGTTGGAATTTAGAAATCCCATGAATTTTGATTGACCTAATGAAGACTAGGTAATTTACTTTCCTTGTTTTGTGGGAAGTTGAAATTCCCATGAATTTCCACTTCCTCCACTTTTGCTTTTTTGTGTCAACCAAACAATTTCTCAATTTATCAAATCCCATGAATTTCTACTCCCCCATTTTATGTTGTCAACCAAATAAGGTCTAAGCATTGTATTATTGGCACAATTGATAATCAATGCTAATAACAAACACTAGCAATGCTGAACAACTTTTTCCGATCAATAATTACCTACTACTGTAACTTAGAATGTATTAGAGTCTGGCTGATCTATATTTGAGTTAACAAACATTATCAATTGAAAATTAACCACTTGTTAATTCCAAACATATTAAACTTTGACTAGTTATTTGGATTTGAGTTAAGTCAGGTTTAAATCCTGATTAGTGATTACTTTCATTATATCAATCTCCTCATCCATATACTTCATACATATAAACTTTGCATCTGTTAAGATGAAATAACTCCCTTATTAACTGATCCCATGCGTACCCTATAAAAGCGATAAAGATATTCATAACCACCAAAGCCACATCCTTAATCTAGTTCTAAATCAAATCAATTAAACCAACATTAAGGTATATTACAAGGCCACGAGGGTTCACATGATGCCAACTGTTAAAAATCACTTTACCAATGAAGAGAAGAGAAGAGAAGGGAAGTAGACCCCACTTAGGTCTTAGGCTAGTGTAGTGCTTCTTAGGCAATCCTTTCATTCCATGTCAGCACCGACCTTTTTTATATTCTGTTTCCAAATTCATCTGTTTACTTCATGGGATTGTATGAAGATCTTCTCCTCTTCTTTTAAACTGTCCAAAACTAATGGCCAAACAAACAAGGCACTATCAAGGGTTCTTCTTCTTCCACGTGGCTAAAGCCCACTTTCACCTTAATCACTAAGTATTCAACTTGGTTATTAATTTTTTCTTATCGTAGTAGAATAATCTTGTAAAATTTGGTTGATAGTGAAATTCAACACATGATTTTTTTTTTTTTTTTCTCTTTTCGAATAGACATGATTTAATTACTATTGTGTTGCGGTTTTGTTCTGTTTTTTTTTCTTTGTTTTTTTTTTTAAAAAAAAATAGTCCTATGAATTATTCTTAGCAAAAAAAATTAGATAAATTATACTTGTACTATAATATGGAGTAATAAATTAATTCCATATTTTTAATTTAATTTATTTAACTGAAATTTAAAATGACTTTGAGTAATAAATTAATTCCATATTTCTAATTTAGTTTAATTAACTAAAATTTAAAATGACCATATAACCGAATAATATGTGAACATAAATAGTAGAGATGAACATGAATAACAAAGATTTTCCTGGTTCTTTTATTCTAGTAACATTTGAATTATTACGCTTGTCAATCTACAATTTTAAGCAATTAATGATTTGTATAAATTATAAAATTGTGTTATTATAAAAATATACATTAAAACTAATTAAATAATACAAAAGTATGAAACAAAATAAGATTGTCTATTTTTGTAAACGAAGTATTTATGAATAAATGGTCAAAATTATTTCCAACTGAATAATGCAAAATTCCAAATGTTACACTAATAAAACGACGCTTTTTTGGTGTGGTCAGCCACATCTTACGGCAAGCTGACACACATTAAAACACTGACCGGGTAACCTCTGACTGACCGAATAACCTCGGCCACACAACCCCTAATCAAGTAACCCCTGATCGAATAACCACTGATCGACCAAATAACCCCTAACCAAGTAACACTGACCATACCGTATAGTTAGACACATATGAAAATTTGGGCTGATAAAATACTGTATGGAGTAACAGAGAAATTAAATAGAAACCCTCCGTACTAGGGATACCTCCAATTATTTACATATAGACTTGAAAACATGAAGCAAATGGCTCATATACCCCACCTATATATCAATCAATTAACCTCTGAGCCTCTCTACTCTCAAAGTAAAAAAAAAAAAAAAAAAAAAAAGAGGAAAATAAATCTAAATCACATATTTTCTTTTCTTGGTTCATATAACTATTCCATATACAGATAGGCAATTGATTGATAAAAACAAAGACATAGATAGAGAGAAAGAGAGTGTATAAGATATGCTCACTTCTCTTCACCTTCCTAGCCACTTCCTTAACCTTAAATCAACCGTCTCTCTTTCTATTTCTTCATATCTATTCACTAATAAGCTTCAAATAAACCATCTTAACAACCCCATCTTGTTGTTCTTCAACTTCATCTCTCTACTCATACCGCGATCCAAAGGTTAATTTTTTTTTAAGCCTAGGATCAACCGTCAAAGATAACTTAGAACATAGAATTTTGTTTTTGCATATTGTAAAGTTCATTATAGTTGGTTTCTTTGGTTCATAAAATGGGGTTGAGCTCAAAACAAGTTTCAAGTGATAGGCATGGTTGGAACCAAGCTTTGTTACAAGCTAGCACCTTAGAGCTTACAAAACCACCTCCATTACTAAAGAGACAAGCACCACAAGTGCAACAACAACAACAACAACAAGAGCCTTTGAAGTGCCCTAGATGTGATTCATCCAACACAAAATTTTGCTACTACAACAACTACAACAAATCACAACCTAGGCATTTTTGTAAGGCTTGTAAGAGGCATTGGACCAAAGGTGGCACCCTCCGCAACGTCCCCGTTGGCGGTGGCCGGAAGAATAAGCGTCTTAAGACGTCGAATGGCGGTACTAAGACCGCTTCGAAAGCTCACACCACCATCACAACAACCACAAACACAGTTAATAGCAGCACCACAAATGACAACATTAAGACTTTATTACAAAGCCAACAACAACAACCACCAACAAGGTTTAGTCTCCCTCTTGGAGAAGCATCATCACTAATAAGTACTCGTACAAGTACTTCTTTTGATGAGAAAAACAGTTTCTCTGAGGCATTTTATCAAACACTTGTTAGGCAATCACCATCTTCACTACCAGAAACCTCCATTACCTTCAATAACAAGAGCTTAAATGATGGGATTTTTCTGGGTATTTCTCAAAACAACAATGATCAAGAACACCTTCAATTTCCATACTCAAATCTTGGAAATTTTGAGAGTAACCCATGTTCAATTTCTTCCTCAAATTTCTACAATTATACAGAGGATCATCATCAACAACCACAAAATCATCAAGATGCTGCAAATGGGTTGGAAGATTCAGTGATGAATACAAGTAATAGCAGCTCAATGAGTGTGATTGATATGTCAAATAATTGGGGTTGGGATGATTTTGATAAATTTGTTTCAGTTGAAGCTGATCTTACCATGCCATGGGATGAAACAGAGATCAATCCACCAGCCACTTGACAGGACATGCACTATCAAGTAATAATTATTAAAACTTTATATTATAATTTTATAGTATGATCTTACAATATTATTATATAACTATAAATACTCATATATCTGAGTTTACTTTAGCTTAATTACTGTAGTATGTGTGTTCATATGGAATTTGGGGTTTTTTAATTTTTTTTAATGGTGACTTTGGAGTTTATCTTTGATAAATTTGACAATGTTTTGTTCATTTGACTATTGGAATGAAATAGAGTTTAGTGAATAATTAAAATATGCCCTCATTTTTAATGGGTTGTTTTTCCTATTGTGGTATAGCATTAATTTCATGATTAAGAATAATCATGTTTCAATTAGTTTTTCAATGTTTTCTTGCTTGTTCCTAGATAATTTCATACTTTTGTCATCCAAAATTATGATGATGTGTTTTAACTAAGTTTGGAATATTTATGACTATGTATAGAAACTTAAGCTAAATATATTAAAGACATGAATTTAATCTCCTACAATAATATGGAGTACTTCTTTTATTACTCCGTATTAAATTAAATAATTTGAACAGCAATGATATGTAAGTATAATTTTCAAAAACTCAAAATTGAATTAAATTGTGTTCAATTGAATTGCTTCATAGTTTTTCTACGTTGTAGTGAAATAAATCAATTTAATCCCAACCATTTGACAAAATTTAATTCCTTTGTCAAAACTTAACAAAATTAGGAATATGTTAACAATTATGAAGATACATGTAGTGCTTGAGTTAAATTAAAATTGAAGACAATTAGGAATAATGTGTTAAATAAAAGTCAATTCTGAAATTACATGTTGCATTATGACATTTTCCTTCAAAAAAAAAAAAAATGACATTACGACATTGTTTTTGCTATTTATTGATTTATTTGTTTATTTTTGTGGAGATTTGGATGCATATTAGCTAGATGATAAAATGGGAAAACTATGCTCACAAGTCATAGATACGCCTAGGTTTTTTAAGACATCTTTTTTCTTGACAGTTTTTTTTTGAATTCATAATCTAAATACTCTTTATTCATATATGACTTATCAAAGTAAGTTACTGTATAATTCGGTCACAATTTCAATTTGTCACACGTCTCTTCCCTAGAAAAATATGTCGGAGGGCAACTGCATCCAATTAATGTATGAATTATCCATCTTTCACCCTTATAATGAATTATGGAGTATGAAAAACTTAGATGTGAGTTGTGACTGATTGTCTTATATTGAAGAAAATATAAAGAATAATTGACTTTAAAATGGAATCTCATTAAGCTTGTATGAGGTAAATTCTCTTCCTAAAAGAGCTTGTACTTGGCTCAATAAAAAATTACTCGTATTATTTTGTGGTTCTCAAAGTAATTTAATTAGAGGTAAAAAGTAGCAAATTCGGGTACAATTGTGCAATGCATTCACAGATATTTGGCTACTATATACTTTGTATCCTGAAAACCATCAATACACTCATTTTGCCCTCACTAGGAACAAAATATTGTTTTCATAGAAAATTTTTGCAACATATATTGCAAATGTTGGAATTGTGTGGAAGTTTATATGCTATGGAGTACTCGTTATAACAAAATAATTTTAACAAAAGAAGATTTCCTTCGTTAAGTCCACTCATGTATTGGTCGACATGGTCGTATAGGAGGTAGTTTGCCTCTCCAATCCCCCTTTCACCAAGTTAAATTGATCACATATTAAAGGAAATGCAGAATTAAGATTTAAACTTTCAACCGCTTATTAAAATTAAGCATCCACGATTGTCATAACAAAGGTTGTTATAGGGGGCCAACTCGGCCATGCCTCGACGCCCATTCATAAAAGATCCATCCTTGCATGTAATTAATCGTCATAAATGAATTAAGTTTTTGTTATAACGAAAATCAAATCAACTTAAAATTAAATGGTGTAAAGTCGTATTGTCCGATACTTGTGATCAGATTCTGTTTATATCATTTATTATATATAGCTCTTTCTCGATACTTCCGTGATAGTGTACGATTTCTCCACTAGGTCCACCGATTTGAACACAAATTATTCTCCTAGGAGGAAGGGGAACATAATGTTTGGTTAAACTAAGCTATATAGGGTTAGTTATACTTATATTGTATGACACATATAATTTGGTAAAATAATTAGGAGCACTAGATAGTGTTATAAGATTAGATATAGATAGGGATGTTACGGCAAAAATAATGGGGTCGCCAAACAGCTATGAAATGAATTATGATTTATGAATAATGGTCATAATTCTCCAGATGTGATATAAGATTCCTGTGGACATTATGCATGTTTTCCGTTGGGGTATTTAGGAGAAGATGACCCAATTTTTGCATTATTTTTTTCGGTTTTTATAGCCACTATTTCTGATATTACATTCATTTTCTATTATTTAAGAAAATCATTATTGTATATTTGTATAATTATTGCTACACAAGAGTTGGTGGATTGATGCAAATATGTTTACTCACCTAGGATTATGATGTTTTGTTGTTTTAGTCTATTTTTAATGATGGTTGGAACATGATTTGTGAAGATTTTATTTATTCATATGATTTGTGTTGTCCAAATACGAAAGAACTTTTTTCAAAATAAAAAATAAATATAAAAAAAAAAAAAAAAGAAAGAGAGAGAAAGAACTTAACTAACTTTTTTCTAGGAACATTGGTGCAACTACTTAAGTATCCCGGTGTACCAAGAACAGAATGGACATGCTCAGAAATTAACTAAAGGATAGGTATAATCAAATGTATTAAACCATATCCGTAGTAATATTAACCCTATAAAATCTTTAAGTGTACAATTTTCTTGTTTCATACGAAATATATTCAATCCTAAGCATGCATATGATTAAAGCTAGGCACAATTCGGGCTCTTTAGGCACACATCTCGTACCATATTTCATTATGCTCATAAATTCATGTCATGGTTGACTCTTGTTGTTCTTTCATAAACAAAGCCCATGCATGACCCAAACCACATGTGTTGTGCAATGTCGAGTTGTGCCATTGAGGCCCTTTTTATACGTTCGGTATTTTGCTACAAATAAACGGGTCGACTCATTGTACTCATATAAAACTCATGCCAAAATTTGAAAATAATGTCCATACATGCTGAACATGTATATGAGTCTGATCATTATAATATCGGGTCGGCCAAGCCCACCCCTACATACAATAATAGAAATGTCATTTCATTCAACAAGAAAAATCTAAGTGGTGGTTAAAAATTGCCTATATTATCTATATCCAACAAAATAGATGAGATTTAACAAAATTGTTTAACTAAGGTGAGCTTGTGGGCTTGTTGTGGGTCACTTTAGTTGATGTTGGAATTGTATCATATGCCCTACCTGTAAAGCTAGAAGCACTAACATTTCCTTACAAAAGTGGTCCTTTCACACACTCTTAACATACCCAATTTGATTGTTTGATCATGTGCTTCAACTTTTAGAGGTCCACTTCTCTCATTTTCCATTGCTTTGTCCCATCATTAGCCCTTCTAAATTATACTATTGTACCTTACATTATACCATAATTCTACTATTATTTGTTTATCAACCTACCGTGCCTTATCACTCATTTTCGGCACTTGGGCATGCATCTACAGGTCATCATTCATCATGTTCCATCTTCGTCGCCCAATTCCGTTTACCTATAGCTAGTGCAATATGCGTCGTAATCCCCATCTTTATTTACTTGACATACTTGATCGTTTAATTTTTATTTTTTTATTTTTTTTTCCATATTAACTTACTGTCTTATTGTATTCCGTATAATACGAAGGAGTACAGTAATACTTGGTTTGGTGACTATTGGTACGGACTGGTACCTAGGGGTACCAAATCTTTCCCTCTACTCCTAAAGTGTCGAGAATTCGATAGTATGACATCTTCTCCTAATTTCCTTGATGAAATAGGAAGTCCAATCTTGAGATTTAGAAAACAATTGAACAATTTTTATACGGTCCTATATGCGCATACCTTATGTGTTCTAATTTGAAGAAGAAAACTTGAGGAAAAGAACATGCTATGATACTTAAGGGTCTGTTCTGTTCACCTTATTTTCACTTATTTCAGGGGTAATAAGTTCAAATAAGTTCAGTTTAGAAAAAATAAGTAGTGATAAGGATTACCCAAGTATAAATTACAAATAAAATAAATTTTAATAAAGTCTAATAAGTTAAGATAAGTTTAGGTAAGTTTAGATAAGATAAGTTTAGATAAGTGAAAATCGGGTGAATTGAACACATAAGTTTCTAATGCATGAATGTAATGTGGAAAGATGGTACAACAACGTACAACCACACATAGTTGCCTTAGATAATTATAAGGTACATTGTACTAAATTAATCATCAACAAAATTTGGTCTTCAATCTAAAGTCGCTTTCATACGGATGGTTTGGTGTGGAATTTGTGACTTCAAGTCTTACTTCTTCACTCTTGAATCTTATGCCTTGACCAATGTACTTATTAAAAAACAATTCACTCCTTTATTAATTTAGATATGAGCATGATTTGAATGCAAGAATTTAAGTTCATAACGTCTATATTGAATCTTTATTTATCTCCTAAAATTCAATTCCGATGACCCTAATTGTATAGGTTTGACTGTTCAACACAAATTAATATGGTCTAACCACTATGTAATTATAACCATTTTATCGTGCCAAATAAATAATACAAAGGGATATGAGTATCTCACAAGGTGGAGGATTAAAGCCTATTACACTAGGTCATACAAAGTATAATTGTATAAAAAGACTTGTTTGGTCTAGTGGTATGGGTTCAATTTTGTGACTTGAAAGTTATGTGATCAATCTCAATAGGGAATTTAAGGGATATAATTGTATTAAAGACTTGTTTGGTCCACTGCGTGGTATGGGTTTGGACTTATGACTTGCAAGCTAAGTCATGTAATCAATCTCAATAAGGAATTTTAAGGGGTTGAGATTTACTTATTATTTTCTCACACTTTCATTGAGTCTAACTAGCAAGTAAGTGTGATTTTTCATCAATAATGACTATCCATTGTTACAGAGACTTTTTAATCAAAAAAACGGTTTCATTATGAATAATTATTGTAAACAACCAAAATTAACAATCGTGTGTTGAGTAACAAACACTAATATAATACGAAGTATAAACAACCTATATAATGTATGCATCAACAATGGCATATATGGTAAGTAATGAATGAGTAAGTTTGGGCTTGATAACCCACTATACGATTCTTGACATCTTAATAGGATCCTAGGAAGACAAGTTGATACTGAACCATCTCTTGCATCTATGGACTACCAATACAACATATAATTTCAAAATAACCACATAATTAAAACAAACTATTCCTAGTATTTTAGAGTTCTTTTGGTAAGCTTGTTATGATTCCAAACCAACTTTTATGACGTTGGACAACACCCCCACGTACCCACTACAATTTTGGAATTTTTTTCTTTCAAAATTGGTCTGATAGCGTGGATTATAGCCTTTAGTTTTGGACAATTTCAACTTTTTTGGGTCTACAAAGGAAAGAGGCCAGGGTGCTCGCCATAAGCACTATGAGACCTCGAAAGACTATTTTAGTGGTTAGGACCATCTGCTTTACAAAAGTTGTCAATTTAGTCGGTTACATACATGCTAAGTGACAAGTGTGTCCATGTTTTGTAGAAAATAGGCACAGGGAATTTCTCATCAATTTTCATCTAAGAAGAACACATTATTTTACTTGAATTGTCTATTGTCATTATCCTTGAGTGGCTAGGGTTAGAACTTTAGGATACTAGTAATGTTATGAGATCCATAGAGTATGTGTATGTCAAGTACAACGTAAATTATGACAAGGTCATGCTATAAAGTTTTGATTAAAGTTGGAAAAATTACATCTAAGCTCTCTTTTTTTTTTTACTGATAAGAGTCGTATTATCAGTGGAACTAGTTACACCATCAAACAACATACTTCGTAATCGTAATTAAAAACTGTAGATATTATATAGGGCGGCTAAATTAACTTAAGCCGCTAAATCTACCGACCTATTTGTACAATAGGGCCCTTATATTCACTATTGTGATTGAAAAAGTCAATAGATTGGTATGAAATTATGCATTATAACAACAATGCAACTTACAATCTTTCTTCCATCTCTTAAGAAAAAGTATCCTTATCATTGAAACAACTACTTGTAATATAAATCTCAACTATCCAACTTTAACTAGATTAGTAAATATGGCATAGAATGCAATGCACTTACCGAATATACTGATTATAGTAAAAAAAAAAAAAAAAGTGTAATATTCTCATGTTTCCTAACTTTGATAAAAGCATGCTTCCTACATCTTCTATGCAAGTTGTGTATTCATATTATTGTAGACTCAATTTTTTTTAAAAATAAAACTAAAGTAATAAAACTTTAAACGTTAATAGTTGAGTGTAAGCGTTTGCAAGTAGTGAAAACGTTAAAGGAGTAGTGTGATGCTCTAATAATTTAGATGGTTTTACAAGAGATATGTTGTTTTTCAACTTGTTTTTAGAGAAGTTAATAAAGCGGCACATGTCATATTTTGGTGCACCTTAGTTTGCTTGATTACAAATCCCCAATTTTTATCAAGGATGTTATTATTCCGACCTTAATGTAGCCGTAATATGGAGCAAAATTTAAAGGCCATTTGCCGCAGGCATTGGTTTAATGTTTCATTCTACTATGAAGTCTATGATCCATATCAATTTTACTACAGATAAAAAGGAATTAATTAATCAAAATCGTCATTCATCATTTATTCTAAGTGAATAGTGTGATTTAAATTGAAAACAAATATTTGGACAAAGGTACGTACTAAGCAGTACGTAGTTTAAGGGGAAGTGAAAACAAGTTATGCAGAATGTACAATATTATACTTCTTCTTAGTATAAGTTAAATTAAACTCAATGTTATGGTGTTTTTCGAAACTTAGTCTTTTTACAAACTCCTAATATAACTCTGGAATGACTATATGTCTCCAAAATAACCTTATTTGTAATGAATTTACAATTACGTTATGATGTAGAAAGATTCTTTGTGATTTATATTGTCTTGGATATTATACCATAAAACCTCTTATTTTATCAGTATCTTTTTTAAAATAACACTTGAAGTTTTCTCTCCTTGTAACACATTTTATCTAGTAAAACCTCATCAGACTAATGATTCACAATAATGACAAGATTGTGCCTTGACTATGACAATCTTGACTTAAATTTAGATAAGATTAGGTAGTTTGGGAGGCTTAAATGCTAAAGGCAAATTATTAACTCACCTATCTAATTTAATTTGAAAAGGATATGTGTTTGATTTATGAGTTTGGGCGAGTGAAAAGCAACTTACAAGTAAAAGTCGTTAAAATTTAAACCTTAGTCAATTGCATAGTAATTTTGATTACCCAAAAACCGTTATGTTTAATGAGGTTTAACTTTTTAAGACATTGTATACCTATTACAATTAATGCTTCTCCCAAAGTCTGTATGGAAATTCTGAATATGACGCTAAGTTGTTTAATACCTCATATACTTAATCTCTCGCTCTATTCCTTTTCTGTAGCAATACACTTCTATTGGAGAAATTCCAAACTTATGATCACATGAATTTTCCTTTTTATCTCTTTCTATTTCTCCTTCCTGTACAGTGTACATTTCCGTTGCGATTAAAAAAGAACGAAGATGGTAATTATATAAAAGTGGGATGGATAGGTGTGAAGTGTGATAGGGCTCCTATTCAAAGATGTAAAGGATTGTTGTATGGAAGAGACAATTAGAAGAAATGGGTCAAAGTGATCCACACTTGTCAGAATAAGTTAATGAGACTTGTAAATCTCAGGTGGGCCTTCTTTGGGCTTAACAGTATTTACAGAGTAGAATTGTCTACCACTATATTATCATATTTGTCTAGCTACATACAAACATAGGAAAGAAAGTTATGGGTATTTCCACTAAGATTTGTAGCAACTAAAAACAGTCTGCTTAAGAAGATTCATGTTTATTCATTTAATTATTTTCATGTTCTTTTGTTTGGTGCTTTTACTTTTTAAGACACCTTAAACATTTTCAAATGTTATGACTCAATTTAAGGGTAGTATTATGCTATATACTACTTATACTAGCGTGCTAATGTATGAGATTTATGCTTTATTCTATTTGTAGCCCTAGTTTAGATCTATTCTATTTAAATAGAACAAGTAAAACATTGTAACTCGAACTAATGATCATTTACATTCAAAATTCAAAATATGTAGTAACAAAAATTTTCATATGTTAAAAAAAATAAAAATAAATAAATAAATAAATAAAATCATAATTATAAGATGCCAATAAATCAGTAAAACTTCTTGTCAAAATTATACACTATCTGAAATATATGATCAACATTTTACATTTGCTTTCAATGGTAAATTATGTAGTCAAAATTAGCATATTCTATTTGTAGACTGCAAAACCAAAGGTATTGCAAATTTGCAATAATTTCACAACCAATACTCCAATTGCTATTAAAATAAATAGAGATTTATTTTAGTTGAATCTAAACTATAAAATTGGTAAATATTGTACTCCGCATGTTTGAGATATTATAGATTATAGAATTTGGAGTACAACTTTTGATATCTCAAACCTAACAATGAAATAATGACATCATAATAAACATGCTCGGATGTATTATTTATGTCATTTTAGACCTAAGCCCATTCTAGCACAATTTGAGCTAGGCCGATTATTAAATTTTGGTGTGTATTCGGCTCGTTTTTTAAGGTTGTTACGTATCTGTGGTGGTTGGGTGGTTTCGGGGTGGGTTTTCCATTATGGTGGTTTGGTGGGGTGGTATTGGTGTTGTGTGAATGTGTGATGGGGTGGTCAATGATAGTCAAGGCGGTCATGGTATGGAAGAGTTTCGAGGGTTTGGTGAAACCCTGAAAAAGTGGGAGACACATAGGGTAAAGGAAATAAGAAAATGACCCGAGTTAGCGAGTCACCCAACAAACTGAGGGTCAGCCTCCTAAACAGTGAAACGCCTTCCCCTGCAACAACTGAACAACACTAGAATAAAATCTGTCATAAACTTTGCCTGATGTGAGCTGAAATGTGCATGATATATTATCCATGAAGGCATCGACACATAACAATTCAATAATCACCTCATCAATGACAATTCACAAGTTTGCTAAAACGATTACAACAAATCAACAATGTCAGTCAAATCACAGGAATATACACTAATACTAGAATTCTAGAGTCGAGCAACAATGTTAATTTCACACCTAATTATGTGTAGACCTAATGACAGACAGTCAGACATCATTTGCAATTGTTCATTAGTAGCTACTAGCAATGCCAACATCATGAGACTACAACAAGATACAGAAAAATCATCAGCAAGAAATGTATATGTTAACAGAATATGCATCAATGATCTCATAGGTTGCCCATGCGCAAGCCTGTGTCTCCAGGTTGTTTAGGAATGAAGTCCACACTGGCCTTGGAGTAGCTGACGTAGTACAGTTCAGAGATTATGCCAGTAAAGACAGTAAATGCAGCACCAGCCGCAAAAACTCCCTTCCTAAGTGTCTGGCAAGAAGGTGGGCTATTTAAGACACTCCTGTATTTGGTGTGGTAGGCATTCCTTACAGAACCCGCAAGCAGACATGCTTCGGCAATAAGGAAAAGCACCCTGAATCATTAGCAACACAAATTTGATCAATGATAAGGACCAAATAAATATTTAGTACCATCTTGAAAACTAAGCAGCCGACAGACACCTTTCATTTAAAGACCTACTAGAGGGCAATCTTCCGTTAAAAACAAGGAAAAATGGAAACTAATAATCCCACCTTTACCATTTCTGCTCAAAACAATCCCAAATTTTCGAAATCTAGAAACAATCCCACCTTTAACCTTCATATTCTCAAAACAGACCTTTTAACCTACAACCTGTTGAACAGGTTAATTTTTTTAATATATTTTTAACTCTCTTCTTCAAGCTTAAGCTTCCCTCGTTCAAGCTTCCATAGCCACCACCACACCACCTTTTTCCATGGCCACCACCACACCTTCTTCCATGGCCACTACACCAACCTCCCTCCCGACCACCTTGAAACCCTCTTAACCCCTAAATCCGACAACCTCTTAAACGAAAACTCCCTAACTCTTTAATCTGACCACCCGTTACCCAAAAATCGACCACCGCAGCCACCCTCACCACCCACGAAACCCCTAAACCCCCCATGAAACTGCCTCCCCATTGACTACCTAAACGAAATTCAAACCCAGAAAACCCCAAAGTGAAACCCAAACCCAGAAAACCCAAATCGAAATTAAGAGGGTTGCGGTGGGTAAGGAGGCTGGCCGGATTGGGGTTGCAGGTTTGGACGAGGGGTGGGCTTTTAGTTCAAGGGGGCGATGGATGGGGAGGGGAGGTGGGTAGGGAAACTGGGAAAGGGAGGTGGGGAAAGGGGAAGGGGTGGGGAGGTGGTGTCTGGTGTGGCAGTGGTGGGGAGTTGGGAAGGAATTTTTTTTTTTTTTTTTGTTTTTTATATTTTAATTTAAAAAAATAAAATATGACCAATCAAACGGTGACATGTGGTGACTCACCTTCTAAAACAAGTTACCAACATCACAAACCGGTAAAAGACCTGTTTTGAGAATATGGAGGTTAAAGGTGGGATTGTTTCTAGATTTAGAAAAGGTGGGATTGTTTTGAGCAGAAATGGTAAAGGTGGGATTATTAGTTTTCATTTTTCCTAAAAACAATCAAAGGTTTCTTTTTTTTTTTTCCACCTGAAATTTGCTAAATTAGCTATCCGAACTTAGTTTGATTAAAAATTGAACTTGGGAACCATTGTTTCAAGTTATAGGAACTTATCTAAACATGTAATTACCCTGAAAGCAGGTTACGATACACAAGGTGTTGAAGTAGTCTTAAATTGTATGAGCAAAGGGAACATTGTCCCACATGGTAAGAAGAGGGAGAATTGTACTGATGTATTCAAGTGCATACTTAAGTGGCTAATTGAATTGGATACTTTGTTTAGAGCTATACTACGTGAGTTAGATATATATAACTACTTATATATCTAAAGTCATAGATAGCACTTAGCACTTGGGTACATTAGCATTATCATTAAAAACGGATAAATTACATTTATTTATTTTGAAAATCCGTGGAATAAGATAGTCATTGTTATCTATAAATATAGATGGCATGGTTTCATTTGGACAGTTAATTTTTTCATACTTTTCCCTTTTCAATATTTTCTCTCTGCTTCAAATATTAAAACGTTCATGGAGATCAAAAAAAATGGTTGTGTTTTTTGTTCTAGAAAATAGGATTATCCTGGGGGTAAATTAGCGGATATCTCCAACAACACTTATAGTGGGGGCTAATATTATCCTAAGGACAGTGATTAGTATCACGTCCTATGTTACTGTAATTTTCTTAATTTATTTGTGCAGTGTGAAATTTTTTCTCTTTTAATTATTTTGTAAACTCTATATCTAACACAAGGAAACAAAGTAAGCATATCAAATATATTACTTAGTACATATGTACTCCTTATATGGAAGTTTGCTATCAAATTTCGAAAGAATTGAAGTTGGTACATACCAGCAACTAACGAACAGCACAATGGCCCATGTCCTGGAACCACCAGGTCTCAGACCTCTGCCACAACAAAGGCATCGGCTGACTAACATTACAAGAAGTTGGCTAGCCAGGAGGAGTAGAAAAGCACCAATACCTAAGCCTGTTGATACATCTGAATCATATTTGCAGTAAGATTCAGTCCCTGTATTAACCAGTGAGGCCTGTCATCCAAAAAAAAAAATAAGTTGCTGAAAGTACAAAGCTAACTTAAGGAATTAGTTCATAACGGGACAAAAGGATCTTGAAGCCATTCTATTAGGGTAAATACACAATGTAAAAGCTCACGTCATGTAACAAACATATAAGCTCTTAACCCTTTTTATACTTTTCTCAGCTATCTAACATTAATACTTCTTATTAATTCCTCAGTTCTCTAACATAGTTGGCAGTCCCAATGTCAGTATCCCACGAAAAGCCAGTGTGGAAACATGGTGTTGAGCTGTGCGAAACTGCCAATTCACATAAAGCTAGTATTTTGAAATACAATGAAAGTTTTGATTGAATGAGCCGGGATATTTGAAAAAGATATTGTATCTTAGATTCATAAGGTGATAGTTAACCATATGATAGGATGAACCAGGATATTGGAAAAATAGATTTTTTATATTTCCACTAGTCAACTTTGTATAAGCCAATTCATGATTCAAAGACAGAAAAATTTCATACATTCAAAGGTTCTTTTTATCATGGAATCTATTAGGATTTAGGAAGTGGTTTTAAAGTAAACTAGTAATTATAATATCTTACTCTTGTAATATCTTACTTCATGTCCCAAATTAAGTATGTATTTCCAAACTGATCTACTTAAAAAGAAATGAAAATAGAAGATGAATTCTGACTTCTGGAAAACCTCACAGTTAAGGACTAAATCCATATTCCATAATCCATACCAATCATTCATTCATGCTAACTTGCTGAAATTTTATAGAAATGGAACTAGATTGAGTATGTGTGTAATAGTAATATGGAAGATGTATTCTGACTTCTGGAAAACCTTACAGTTAGAACTAAATCCATACCAATCATGCTAACTTGCTTAAATTTAACAGGAACGGAACTAGATTGAGTATGTGTATAATAATGAAAGGGAACAGAATTCTAAGCTCACTAGAAACAGGCAAATAGATGGAACTTGGCCAATAATGAGCTTAAGATAAACTATTAAATTAGCATATAGGCTGAAAAAGGAGAGAGAGAAACAAGAAATGCTCAGCTTGGTGAATAAAATGTGTCATATACGAAACTTAACACAGTAATGAAATTCGAAGTATGTTCTTATATCTGAGTTCCCAGGTAGTTGTGCATTATAAACATATGATAACACACAATCAAAATAAAAACATAATGTAATTATTGAATTTTTTAAGCAGGGAGAGTCTACTATCTGCATCCAAATATTTTTGGCATGACATGAAATCTTACTGTTGTGCTATGATCAACACACACATCAATGGATATGAGTGATGGGGATGAAGCAAGTCAATCACTATCATTATGCATGCCTAGTTTATGTACCTTGTTTGTGCTATGAGTAATTCTCATTTATTTGCCTGTAATCTTGATATAAGGAGATAATAATCTCCCACGATTTTGTACAATTATGTTCACAGTATAATACTTGGGGGATAATAATCTCCCATGATTTTGTACTATTACTATGTTCACACTACAATAGTTTGTATATACACTTCTCCATAACTTCAATACCTTGAAGTGTTACAACCTCAAATTAAGATACCTAACCAATTGGCTATCCGATCTTCCCCATTTGGCATATCCAATATCCACTACTAGTCCCACCAAATCTGATAGACATGTATTATAATTTGAAACCCGATGAACAATACAAGAAAGCTAGAGCCAGAGAGCATATAAAAACCCAAGATAAGTCTTCCCTATATGATCAAGCTTAAACTTTGCATCCAAACTACAAGAAACCTTCAACACTAATAGTTTCATGAAGAATTTCCTAAATCATGTTAAATTTTGAACAGAAAAACTTCCATCATGCAAGTAATTACCAAGATACCGACCATATAGGATTGGTTCCAAGCATGTTAATTCTCTTAAATTCAAGCCAAAACCCCTAGTCAAGTTATAAAATACAAAGTATTTACTTGACATATGGCCATTGAGGGGTAGCGTTCGATCTCAACTTGATAGTTTACTATGGTAACAAGTTAAAAAGGCAACCAGCATCAATCTAATTCGAACCGACAGTTGATATTACTATACTTAATTATTCGAGGATATATTTGTAGCAATCACTCACTCAGTTTTTACTAATATTCAATGTAATCACTTGGATTCTACTCAAGCAAATCAGGCACAAAAGTACACAAATCCACTGGAACACCCAGGCCGATTTGTGTTGACATAACCTAAACAAAACCTATGCAAAACCAACAACACCAACACCAAATCCTTAATCCAAAAATGATTCAAACCAAGAATTTATCTTCAGTAGTCCAAAAACCTATGCAAAACCCAACAATAAACTCCCAAACAATTTTTTCTTTTTTAATCATTTTGAAAACAAAGAAACCCATAAAAATAAAAGTATAAAACAACAAAATTATTTAATTTAATAAACTTAAAATTGGCATTAAACAAAAAAAATCCCACCCTCCCCCACCCCCCCCCCCCCCCTCCCACCCCCTCCCCCCCAAAAAAAAATGGAAAATATTAGCTTAAAATAAACCCCATAACTCAAGTTATCAGCCAATAATAAATTAAACAACAAGAACTCAGGAAAAAAATTCAACCTTTAGCAAATTACAGGAAGAAAAACAAATTTGTTTTATTTTAATTTTTAAGGGGATTAACAATATAACCCAGAAAAAATTCCACCTTTAACTTAATTTAATTGTGGGTAGAGCAAAAAGGGAAAACTAACAGTGCTTCTCCTCTGTTCAGCAGCAACAGCAAGAGCAAAAGCAATCAAATCAAGCACAAATACAATCACTAACAGAAGTGTTGAAGCCATTCTAAATTAACCCTTTTCTTAGAGAGAGAAACAGAAAGATAGAGAGAGAAAGCGTTGAGTAAAAGAAGTTGTCAGAAAGAGTGAGGATAAAAGAAGCTACTGAAAGAAATAACAGGGGAAGATTAGTGAATTAATTTTGAACTTTGAACTAATGATTTTTATTTTATAATTGTACTATAATACAAGTTATTGATTTGGTAAATTAGATTGAAGTCCACTCTCATGTATTCACGCGCTTCTTGTAATTCCCATCACCCCTATTTATTTAATTAGGAATTTTTTTTTTTTTTTTAAAGTAATCACTTTTAGTTTATGTAGCCGACTTCACTTATGGGATTAAAGCTTTTATTGATTGATTGAGAATGAAAGGATCAAATGAAATATTTTTTCTTGTTCTAACTAAAACTAAATGTAAAGTTATCCATCATTGATAAATAATTAAATTTATACGAATACAATCTTATATGCAATTGATGTGCTTTGTTTGTTATGAAGTACGTATTATTGTGCACTATGGTTTTTTTTTTTTTTTTTTTTTTTTTTTTAAAAAATTATCTTCTTTGAATTTTGTTTTTTGAATTAGAAATTTAATTCTTGAAGTTATTGTTTTTGGAATTGTCGCTTACATATATTAAAACTTACTATTATAGTATAACATACCCAACTATAAGAATCTAAGAGGTTGGTAATTGTTAAAATTTAGCATCACATGGAAACATAAAAGATTAATTGTTATTATGCACACGATACACGTAAGACAAGTTATTTACTCCATAATACAACGACGTTTAGTTTTTTTGTGCAAATATTTGAAATATCAGATAAATAACCTACTTAAAGTTTTCCATCAACTTTGTACTTGTACTAGTTGTGCCAAATTAACTTTATGACATTGTTGGTAACTTGGTATGGCTACATTGATGATCCACAAGGACATTAATATTAAACTTAATAAGCTCCAGACCTCCAGTAGCTTTTATAGCCAAAAAAAAAAAAACGTTGCAATGCCAGATGGTACAAATGTTTTATGAGAATTGTTAATTGATTCAAGAAAATCAATTTATTAAGACCTATATTTTTTTTCACCTTTACATTTTCGAGTTTTACATTGTAATTTATTACTCGGTATTTTTGTTTTTTATTATTTTAAATTTTACCGCCTTTTATTTACCAACTTCCTTCCACTCCCTATCTTTTCACTTTCCTTGAAAAGTTGTGCTATAAGCAAAAATAACAAGCAAAAAGCAACTAATCGAGAGAATAGTGCCAACATATAGAATTATAGACTAAATTTAAGCAAAAGAAATAAAACCGTGGAGAAAATTGCCCAAAAGAAATAGTTGCATCAAAACAAAACAAAACTTTTCATTAAGTTACATCAAAAAGATACATCTGTAACAAAAGATAATGTCAATTATCATATACAAATGATAAGCTGTAAGGTTTACAAGAATCATTGCACACTGGTTAGCGGAAGAAATAATTCTTAGACTATTCCCCGATTAGTCTCTCATCAATCACCCAAGAGCAAACCTAGGGCCTTTTACAGCTGAATAGATTACAGCTAACAGTATATCATGAGCCATTCGTAACAAGCTTTTCTGGGAAACCAATCTAAAAGATCCGTTACACCCACCATGGAATTCAAGTAAAGCTTCCCATCAAACCTGGCTACATATTCTTATGTACAAAATCCGAGAGTGTACAGAGGTCTGCCCAGAAAAGGCACTGAACGAGATCTGCACTATGTGAGATGGTAAAGCAGCTTTCAACATCGTAATCCTCAATTTTACTGTCCTATACATGATCAAATGACCCACTCTTTAGTCTTTGCATCCGGGCTTGCAACCCAGATAATGCCTTCTCATCCATAGGAAGAACTCCACTGTGAACCGGGTTGTCAGCAGCTGAATCATCTAGCTCATGCTGAGCTTGATTATGAGTAACATTACCATTCATTGGCATCAAGGGCCTGTTTCCAGAATCTGGATTTACACCTGCTGCCGCTAACTGCATGTTCTTCATCCTTTCTCTAATAGCATCTAATGTCCCAGTAGTAACTGCTCAATGCACACAGCAGCTCCCACAATCAAAATCATCTTCCCAAGGGGAAAAGAAAGAAATGAAAAAAACAAGAAACTAAAAACAAAATAAAGTTACCTCCTGTTGCCAGTCTGTCACTTCTTTGGTCCCCTAGAAGCTGTTGATGATCAAAATTTGAACCTCTAGAAGTTGCATTGGCTGTCTTCTCATCTTCACTGAATGATGGGGGTAAAGAAAAACTTGTTGGCTCAACTCTAGTATTCAGCGATTTTGAATCATTTAGCGAGTTTGTATGTACAGGCGACAGAGGAGCTAATTTTGGCGATGAAAGATTCAGTGATGATGGAGGTGGAGTTGATAATGGAACACTTGATGGTGTCCTTCCGGCAGCTGCATTCTTCTCCATCTGCAGGAAAGAACAGATGAGCATAGCACTATAATTATAATTAATGTCGATGATAGTGAATTAGCTGCATACCTGTGCCAATCCATCTCTTATATAAGTTCGGAATGCTTCACTGGCATTTTGGAGCTGAGCAAAGATATCAACCTACAAATAGGAGTAGATTGTGAGCATAAAGATGCTTGAAGCATAATACTTAAGCAAAATCAAGCAATTGTGTAATGCAAACAGAGGAAAGAGGCTAATGGGTAGAAAACAAAGCATTAGGAGATAACCAAGTTGGTGCACAAAAGTTACCTTGGGGTATAATTGTGTAATGCGATACAGTTCATAAAGACCAATACTGCAAGTTTGCTTATCTCCAATTTTCTTAAAAATTGCAGCCAGTTCTTGCTGCAAGAGACATACGGCCAAGATATCATAATCAGTCACAACTAAATGTATTCAAGGCATAGACACCAGATGTCATCATCATTGATAGTCCAGCATTACCTTCAACTGAGCGTCAGCAGAATGAGTGGCAGAAGATGGATTATTAGCAGTTGAGTCACCCCAATGAGTTTGGCCCACAGGTCCAGTGGGGGTAAGCATCCTCGCCGCTGCCAAAGTCTGGTACAGGAAAATAGTAAAATTATAAAGCAGAAATTAAGAACATGTGAAAGCAAGTAAGACAGATCAAATGCTAAACTGACTAGAAACCCAAAGCGCAAAGCAAAATTCCAGTACCTGTAGATTCAAATCAATGTATGCAAGAATAATGGGTTGAGGCTCCATATCTATAGGAACCATGGAGAGATGACCTTTGATAGCTGTACCCCGGAGTTTTACAAGTTCATGCAAAACAGTTTTAACCATACGCAAAGGCTTATCATCAGCTCCCGCTCTTCATGTAGACAGAGTTATAACAAAATAAGAGAATAAAAAGGACGAGTGAGTATAATTCTCAAATAAGAAGAAACCAGAACTAACAATCGAAGAGGGAAAATTACCTTCTCCTTATTTCTTCCATTCCAAGCTCTTGAAGGTACACATGGATGCTTTGAAGAATGCGATCTAGGTCCACATCATATATAGTGCTTTGAAGAACCTGAAGTAGGAATAGGCAATTTTAAAAACCTGATATCTTTAAACCCTCAGTAAATCCAAAGAAAGTGCAGTGTAGCAGAGAAGAATTAAGAGAAAAGAGAAAGAATTATGTATAAATTTAAGAGGGACAAAGAAGATTGATTATGGATATTTACTATACAGAAAATGTCTTTTTAGAGGAACACTAAGCAAAAGAATATAAAAGTACAAGTGTCGGCACTGGGTGTTTTTGAGCAGCAAAGCTTACACTCTATGCAACTCAAGGCTTTCACCCACCCGAGCAAAACAAAGGAAAATTACCTTTGTTAGTTTTATCAAACACTTGACAACTAAATCAGAAAATTTCTGATTTCTAACATTCAGGGACTCATTCACCGCAGGTGCTGGCCATCTTGAGGAGCTCACTGGACTTAGTAGTTTAATGAGTACCACAAATGATGATGTCCTGTCAGCATTGTCCTACAAAAATTGACATTACTTTCAGATAGGTCACTATAAAGGTGATGAAACAATAGCAAAAAAGGCCAATTCATATATACCAAGATCTTAAGCATCAAAACATTCAAAGCTTTCAGAAGTTGGCCTCCATCATCCATGCGAGGAACCCGTTCATCCAAAAGCCAAAGAAGAAGTTCAGTAATGAGATTATCAAGGGTGCTCTCCTTGACAGCATGAGCTAGAGTCTTATTTTGAAATGTCTGCAGCATAATAAAAACCATCAGAAGAGCAACAAAAACATAGACATAAAATCTAGCATGAGTGGCAACAAGAAAATATCCATAAAAAAGAAAAAAAAAAATCACCTGCATAAGTGTGTTTAAAACATATTTACAGGACCTCGAAGAAGCCCCAGTTAGACTGAAGTCAAATGTCTTTGCAACCTGTTTCAATTGTCACAAAAATTAAGTATTGCATTGCAAGAAGAAAAAAAAAAAGGAATTGAAAGAAATTACAGAATGCAAACCAATAATCCCTCAAATTTCCAAGTGTTACACTTGCCTAATTCCGTTTATCATTTTAAGTGTTATACTTCTATTTCTGATAAATTACTACATTCTATTATTCTCTCTCTCTCCTCTCATGGTCCCCACTCCATTTTTATTACCTCTCCTCTCAAATCCCTTAAATTTAATAAACTATTAACTTCACTGTCATTTCTTACAGTTTTTAAATACCCCAAATACCCTCCCCCCACCCCACTTGTCTTAATAAAATAAATCAATTAAACCTCCTAACATTATGTGCTGGTACAAATTGTAATACATATGAGAAAACGGAGCGAGTACCTTATTGGCTAAGATTATGACAAGTCGGTCTGCATCCTTGACAATGTCATCCATTGTACTTCCTTCAGGATCATTTGTGGCCTGCGCCAACTCATGGCAAACTACTTTCATTCCTTCCACAGACTGCACAGAATTAGATTACACGAAAGATGAGTTCAATGCAAGAAACAAGCATGGATCAGAAGTACAGATATATATATTCAAAACATGGTATAAATAAGAACTGCATAAGGGCCTTCTTTATTGAGCATCAAACAACAAAGTTAAGGGATTTATTTTAAGGATCATTTAAGCATAACAAATACCTGCTCCGGTGCACCGTGTGCAATGATATCAAGTGCTTCATTCCAGTCAGTAGGACCACTAACAC